CCCCCACCCTCTCCATATCTCAGTCTAAACCTCCTCCATGCTTTGTGTGAATATTTTGCACAGAAGGGACGATCTGATGGAAGCGTCACAAAGAAGAATCTTGAGGATCTTCAGAGGCAGCTCGAGCGCTACAAGAAGGATTTGGACCAGGCGCAGGATGAGTAAGGATACGTGGTTACTGTTTTTGCTTCTACTATTCTGGTTGAACATTACTCCTGGATCCTCTTGGTTAGAAAAAAGATCCAAGCTGATCCACTAAATTGGTCTAAAACTTTAAAATCTTACTAAAAAAACACTTTTGCACACTTCATTGTGACAGTGCTATCCAACAGCAAACTAAGATAAAAGTTGGGTAAAATAAGAACCCTTTTTTTAAATGAAAGGTTTTTACAGTAAAATAAGACAAACTTTATAAAGCCACAGTGTCTAAAAGTGCAAAATGATGAGCACGRTGGTGGTAACATCATGCTATGCTGTTTTGTTGCCAGACAAATATTCAACTTAAACTTTGCCAAAAGCTTGTCCACATGCTAATCGCTAATGACCACTCAGTGTGAAGTCTTTATTCTTTTTAAGCCTGTGTATCTAATGATTTATTAATTTATGACAACGCATTTAGGAAAATGAATTGTTTTACCAACTGGAAATCTGAAGAAGTTGCTTACCTTGTAATCTGCCCTAGAAACAGATGAGTTCAAAGAAAACACTCAAAAATCTACGTYCTTAATGAGTTTGTAAAACCACAGAGCTGTGAAGTGCACTGTGTGGTTTAAAACAGAGGTTCTTAACCTTTTTGTCCTCGGGGCCCAATTTGTTGAACATAAAGTGGCACGAGGCCCAGTCAGACATTACCAATGTATGGATCAAAATGATAGTTCAAATCTAAATCTTGGTTTAATTTTTATTGTATTTACATCATAACTAACATAACTAAATTAAATCCACAGTTTAAAAGTGAAACTCCTGTCAAATAATCACAAGACATGATTATGACAAACATTTTTATATTGTAACCTGCACATAACATTTATTTGAACAAATACAAAGGTCAGTCAACAGACCACTCAGGCTTATCAGCACAAAAATATATATATTTAACATAAACAATAACAAAAGTAGACCGTTCAAAAATAAAATTGTGGGCATGAAATAAATTTAAAATGTTTAATGTAAATGTTTCAAATAAAAAAAATTGTAAAAATAAATTTGCTAAAGTACAAATGAAAATAAAACCTTTTTAAACTTTTGCAACCAGAAGCTTCTCTTCATATTAGTGACAAACTTTGGTGGTTTTTTTAAGCTATTTTCATTTTTGCCTTCTACTTTTCATTTAAAATAGGTTTCCATTTTCATCAGGTTTCTAAGGTTCTTCTTCTACATATTAAAAAAGTTGTTAAACATCTGAGTGACACATTACTGCTACTAGTGCTGAGAAATTGTATTGCATCTTATTCAAAATCAGTGCGGTCCCGCAGCCCAAAGTTAAAAACTGTTGTTCTTTTGAGGCCCTCAAGGTGGTGCTCGCGGCCCGTGGGTTAAGAATCTCTGATTTAAAAGAAAGCAAAACTTTTTAGTTTGCTATGTTGCCTGTTAGAGAAAGCGGTTCTAACGGCACATTTCTTTGCAGACTTGCTGCGGAGCGTTTATCCAGAGAGGTGGCAGAGTCCCGTCTGCGTCTTCAAGAGGATCAGCTGGCTCAGCTTCAGGAAGAGCTGAGGAGAGTTGCTGAAAACGCACCCCATTCAGACTCATTCCAGACGGTGAATTCACCGTAAACCAACAGACAAACACATGGATGCGCTTCGGCGTGGCCGTGATTCGACGCATTTGTGTTTTCCCTGCAGGACGTGCTGGAGCTGCAGGCCCAGCTCGCTGAGGCCACCATGCTGCACCGGCGCCAGGAGGAGGTGCTCCACCAGCGAGAGCGGGAGCTGACGGCCCTGAAGGGTGCGCTGAAGGAGGAGGTGGAGTGTCACGACAAAGAGATGGAGGCTCTGAGGGAGCAGTACAGCCAGGACATGGAGAACCTGAGGCAAACCATGGAACAGTTCACGCAGGTGAATGTATATACGATGCAGTTAGTCGCCAAATATTCTGTGTACCAGAAACCAGAGCAGTCCTCAGAGCTCAGCTTCCATCACTCACTGAGCTTCATTTCTTACTCTTACAAAAGGTGATCCAGTTCTCCAAGATTTAATTGCTCCTCTCGTTGTTCACCCTTCAAATCTCCCCCAGGTGTCTGAACATTCCACTTGATGCAGATAAACAAGAAAAATCTGTTACAAACGAGTTCTGTGAACCAACAGCTGATCTGTGTTTATTACTTCAGGCTCATCTTATTAAAAAGGAAACTCAAAAACATTAGAACCAGAGACAAAAGGACAAGAAACTGTGGAAGGGGAAAGAGACTGGTAATTTATTTTGTGAAGTGGGGTTTTGTGGAAGTTAAAAMCAYTTAATATCTTACCTGTTGTAGATCGTTCTTTGAAAAGCTTTGGTCTGGCAACAATGTCGGTGTCCGTGGAAGAGTCATTTGGGATGGGGAAGTCTCAGTTCTGATGTGTTTGTGTTTATTTGCACTCMGATTTGTTGAGTGAATTATGCRAATAAAAGTGCTTTGTTTACATTGAGTGYGTACCCACATTTCARAATACAAGGTAATCAAAGCAGGGCCAAAACCAAAAAGAATATTCAGACAGAATTCTGTGGTTATTTTCAAGTGCAAATAGCAGCTGCAGCAGCTAACTATACTTCTGGTTCAGGCAGGGAAATATAATATTTCATCTAAAACATCTGTGTGAAACTGATGGCAATCTAAAGGTTAATGAAAAAGTTGTTGCATAAACATCTAAGATTTTTGTGTCTGGGACTTCATTAAGATGGCAGCCCACTTGCTCAAACTAGCCTTTAGCTCATAAATCTGAATAGAATTAAAYTATTAAGTCATCTACAGCAGGTAAGATATTTTTWAMKKT